ATATATATATAATGTGTGTGTATGCACAGTGAATCTTGAAATGACTCATCTGTTACAAAGCAGAATTCATTGTTCTTTAGGTTATGAATATATTTTAAATTATATATAACTAACATAAATATATCAAGTGCTCTTAACTACTGAGCCGTCTCTCAGTCCCCATTTCTCAAACTTCTGATGCCTGCTATTCACATGCTGTCGACTTCTGATGGGGTGACATCCCTGTAGATCCACCAAAGATGGAAAACGCAAGTTAAAAAAAAAATGCATTGAATCCAGCCAAGAAAGACCAGGAATATTGTAAAAGTCAAAAAGGGCCGTGCCTAATTTCTTCTGATGGTGCTTTTCCTCCACGAAGCCTAAATTAGAAATTTTAATAGACTTTTTGGCCTCCCCTCTCTTTGTTCCCGTATTGCCGGATGTGTAAGATGTTTAATGTAGGGGCTGGGGAGATGGTTTAGTCAGTACAGTGTTTTCCATGCAAGCATGAGGATCTGAGTTTATTTATATCCCCAGAATTCACATAGAAAGTCTGGGCCCAGGGGCACATGTGCCAGTAACCTCAGCACTGGGGAGGCAGAGGCCTGAGGATCCCCGGGGCTCCCTGGCCATCTACTCAAACTGAACTGATGGACTCCAGGTTCAGTGAGAGATGCTGTCTCAAAACAAACCAACAAATAAATACGGCCAACAGCAATAGAAGAAGATATCTGGCGTGGAGCTCTGGCTTCCTATGCATGCTCTCACACTTGTGCATGTACCTACACATATACCATATGTGCGACACACATGTACAAAATCAACAGCCATGAGCCCTACTGGCATTTAATACAGGGCTTCTCTGCTAGCACAGAAAGACATGATGTGATGGGCCAGTTACCTGGTTATTAAGTACGACAGTACTGTCTTCAAGGCGATGGGATTTCATTTTCCCTCTTTGTATTAGTTCCAGAAATCCAGGTGTTATTTTTGTTGAATCCTAAAATAGTAAAAGCATTCCTACAGTGTTCTGTCCCAGCCAAGTCCCACTGTTTCTTCCTGGGCTGCTCATCACCATAGACACCGGGTATCTTGTTCTGCTGACGTCCCGTTAGGCCAAGCTCCCCTCTGATAGCCTTTGGCTCCTAGGAGAGGAGCCTCTAGTCAAGGCTGCAGGGGAGCCTGCGTCCTAGGCCAGCCAGCCATTCCTGCAGCTTGGTTTCTTTCTCCTGGGTCTCTCTGGGCAAGAGGCAGGCAGGTGTGGGCGGCTGTGAAGTACCTGGCGGGTTCTAAGAACGGTGATGCTATTTTTCTCTCTATTCCCTGACATAGTGCTAAAGAGGGGGAAATAAAATCAGAAGAAAGAGGGTGAAGACAGGGATACACTTCCAGAAACAGCTGCAGAGGGCATTTAGTCTCATGATCCAGTCAACCGAGAAGAACTCCCCCCTTGGTGCAAGCTTGAAAGGAAGTGAGGAAGAGAAAGAAAGCCCCCAGGAGGTCCTGCATCTCTGTCTTATTGCAGCATCTTCGACCTCTGAGTAGACTGAGCCTGGGAAGAGCAGACTTAGATGGTACCCACAGCTTGTAGACAGCTTACCGAAGCCTTTTAGTACCTGAGCCTTGATTTTCCCATCATTAAGATGTGAACTGTGACGCCTACCGTAAGGAGGTATCACAAGATTTCCTCATCTGTAAGTCCTCACATGACCTCTATCCCAACTGGGTCACAGGGTGTTAAAGAGGTCATTATGTCCAGATCTCTAACAGGTGCTAGACGGCCATCAGCCCTTTCTCCCCCTCCCATTAGTTAGTGTCTGCTTTCATTGACCTCCTCTTCCTAGCCCCTCCTTCATCAGACCACGGTTTCTTGGCCCGCCCCTCCTGAATGCACCGGGCCCAGCTCACATCTCTGCTCTTGTAGTGGACTCAGGGTACCTGTTGTTTGCTGCTCTGGGTATTGGTATTCAAAATCTCTGAAATTGTAAGATGAACAAGCTCACTAGGTTCTACCTGAAGTGTCTGTCACCGTGGGCTTTGAATAAAGGCAAACAAAGGCACTGTAGAAGTGCCTTGCACCTTTATGATGGATGACCCCTGTGCCTGCAGCTGTGTATGAATGTGTCCACACACTTGTGTCTGCCATCTGCTTCAGACTTCTGTTTCTTTAACACACTCACTTGTCTGTGTCCGTTGGGTCCTTGAGCTTGCCTTTAGGCCTCTGATTTCACCAGATTCCATTTTTCTGTTTTCATGGTTAGAACAGGCTTGCCTGCAACACATTTATTGAGTTGCTTTACAAGAAAAGAAACCGGGGATATTCCAGTTTGCTTCCTTAGAGCTCAAAGCACTTCTTACACACTCTGCAGGCGGTATCCTGCTCCCTGTGATGCTCACTCTTGGGACAGGGTGTGAAAATACATAGCCTTTGCTGTGTGTGTGGTACCATGTTCGCTGAACCGTAATTTCTACACCACTGCCCCCCAAGAGCACACAATAGGCTAGAGAAAAACCTCTGGTGCTCAGTGATCACTCAAGTGTGACTGCAGGCAGCCGCTGCCTCCAGACTCAGGGCTCAGGGTCAGAAACTGAGAACTCAGGCTTCTGAGGCATCCACTCCTGGTATTTTTCATCTTTAAGCCATGCCTGTGTGTGTCTATCTTGCATTCTTAGTGTGTGAACACCTCCAGAGCAAGGAACATGGCCTCTCTCTAGTACCTTGACATACCACAGCCTTCTTGGGCTCCTTTTATGCATTCACTCATTAGACAAATTTTCTTTAGGGTCTCTACTATGTGCAAACACTGCTTTAGTTGCTGGGATCCAGCAGAGAACGTGACAAATATATTGGCCTCTTAGTATATTCTGAAAGAGCCTTGCACACATGCACACAGTAAGCCAGCATTTTGTGTGTGCACACACGTAGAGGCCTGAGAACAGCCTCAGCCTCAGGTGTTGTCCCTCAGGAGCTATCTGCCTTTTTTTTTTTTTTTGAGACGAGGTCTTTTATTGGCTTGAGGTGTGGCTATTCAGCTAGGGTGGCCATGGGTCCTGTCTCCACCTCCCCAGTGCTGGGATGATAAGCACGCACCATTGGGTGGGTTCCGGGGATTGAGTTCAGGCCCTTAACGCTAACGGAACACACACTTCACTGGTTATTTCCCCAGCTCTCAAATCAGCATCTGAGTTTACCTTCCTAGCTGTTGGCCCAGGATCCCAAGAGTGGGTTATGCTGACAGGCTGTGCATGGTGGGTGATGGGAAGCCATGGGGGGGCTTTAAATATGAAGGGACTGCCACCAACAGGTCCTGCTGGCTGCTATCCAGGGGCATCTGTGAGAGATCAAGGGTGATGATCTCAGTGCAGGCGAAAAGGCGAAACTGATGATGGAGAGGAGTAGGAAAATTTGGGAGATATTTTAGGCTGGGCCCCTCAACAGCAGGACCACTGAAATTTTGGGTGTGGCATCGCCTTGCAGCGGGGACTATCCCACACACTATGGGAAGCTTGGCAGCATCCCACCCTCTGCCCAGCAGACTCAGCAGCATATACCTCCTGGCTGTATCAGCCAAAATCTCTCTAGGTGCCCCAGGGGCAAAATAGCCCCCAGCTGAGAATCCCGACTGAGTGACTCCAGCAATACCTGCTGACAGACTGGGGGTCAGTGGGCAGAGGTGGGGATGGGAGAGGCCATCCTTGGACAGAGAATTAGGTTTTGAGCTTCCAGTCTGGTGATATCTGATACCTCTGGAAGGGTATTGCTCGTGACCCCTTATTCAGAGTATCCCCTCCAACCTCTGAAGGGCTGGGTGGACAAGCCATATTCAGTCTTGCCTGTGCCTCTGAAGCCACCACAGAGGTGAACCTTGGTGGACTGGCTAGGGCCCTTCTGGCCACTGGCTGTTCCTGAGGATCTGGTTTTAGGCAGAATGACCCTGTGTATGAACATACTGTTCTGAACTTTCCCTCAGAACTCAATCCCTTAGCCCTTTCTATGGCGGCTGCAAGACCTTCGGGAGGTTAGGTGTGAGGCCAGCATCTTAGGGACAGAACATTGACCTAGTAGATGCACATGTGAATATAGAGAGCATTCAAATGAGCTGGCCTGAGCTGGGCATTACAGGACTGGGGATAGGAAGAAAGTGGGGTGCAGTGGAATAAAGCTTTGAGTGGGGAGAGAGGCTTCTCAGAGGAAGATGTCAGGGGTAAGACACACTGTCAACATTAGTCCTTGGCATTTAGAAACTGGGGTTTGGGGGTTGGGACACAGCTCAGTTGGTAGACGTTTGCCTGGTATGCGCAAAGCACAGGCTCAGTCCTCAGCACTATAACTGGGTATGGTGGTTTTCCTGTCCCTTGCTGTCCCCTAGTACTACAGGAAGGTGGGGAGGCAGGAGGATCAGGAATTTAAGGTTGTCCTTGACCATACTGAGTTTGAGAACAGCCTGGACAATGTGAGATCCTGTTTGGGGGCGGGGTGGAGAGAGAAAGAACTAGCATCTTTCCCAAGTCAGTTCTCTCCTTCCAACATGGGAGTCCAAGGATCGAACTCGGGTCCTCAGGTTTGGTGGCAAGTGCCTTTACCCACTGAACCATCTCACTGGCCTAGCACACAGCATTTTGATTTCTTTTTAATACGTTTATTTATTTATTCACTTGTTTATATGTGAGTATATGGGCAAGTGGGTATGCTCTCACGCAGGCTTTCTCAGAAGCTAGAAGGCGTCCAATCGGTCAGTGCCAGTTTTGTGGGACACTCTGCTTGCTGTGTGTGCTGGGACCTGAACTCCGGTCTCCATGACTGTAGAGCAAGTGCTCTTCACTGCTGGACCTTCTCTCCAGTCCCCAAAGCTATTTTATGAATTTTTTTTAAAAGTGACTTTAATAGAGAGCCATGCCTGAAACCGCTGAAAAGATGAGAAAGTGTCTACAGACTGTGTCTGGAGTCCATGCCATTCAGCGCACACTTGGATGGGAAAGAATAGCAAGGCCATTACGGGATGCAAATGACAGCCACTCACTCAGCAGTGATCAGTATCTTTATTCATACACACTTGCTTCCGAACTACAATGAATGCATCTAACAAAGCGAATCATGCAAACAAAGATTAGAGGTTACACAAATCCAAGAAAGCTATGCAGTAATTTACATATCCTTCTCCCCTGCTAGCTGACCAAGTGAGCAGCCCCTCCGGCTCATCAGTAACGGTGGCCTATTCAGGCAGAAAACCTCGGCCTTCACTCCTTCCTCCAAACCAATTTGGGGTTTTGCATGGTGTTTTTCAATGAGAGATTTAAACATGGCGCGTCCTTCATAAAACAAAACAGAAACCATGCAGGAAACGCAACTTCCAATGCTTCTGATCGCCTATAAAAGATAATCTCAAAAAACCTTCATAGTCAGGACAGGAGGCCAATTCTTAGAAAACACTTAGGCTCAAAATAGTAGCCACCTTCATGTATAATTTTCAATAGTCTACCAAACCTCCCAAAGAGAGAGTCACATTTTTTCCAGGCAAAATATTAACAAAAATCTACAAACATTGATCACAGAATAGTCTTTAAATGAAGCGGGAGACAAAAGACACAGCTGTTTAATCAGAAAGTGCAAAGCCGCCTTTTGTCGTATTTTAGAAAAGGGGGTTCTTACAAAGTGGGACAAGAGCTAGTTTCTGAAAAGTAGGGTTCTGTCTACTCGTACACAGGGACATGGAAGCGGATGCCTTAGGCACACTCGATGCTGCTCTTACTTCCTGGGATAGAAGCTTTGCATTGCCCAGTGGGCAAAATCCTTAGAGGGCATCTCTCAATCTTTACCAAATGTGAGAGACCGAGGGACCAGAAGCAACTGGAGACAGAGTTGAAGAAGCACCCCCTTGTTCACAGACTCTTAGAGAGCAAGAGGAGGGGGTCCTCGAGATCCCCAAGAATGCTCTCCCAGGGCTGCATCAGGAAGGGGGCCTATGAAGCCACCTTCCCTACAGTTTAATGATATGTGGGCTTCAGATTTTACTGGTGTGGGAAAATCCTGCAGTGGGATTGCAGGTCAAGGGTGCTCTATCCAACTCGGATTAAATCCTCCTATAGGCTCCATGGAATTGGAATTTTATGAAATTTTTATTAGTTTTATTTTAAAAAACTCATTTGAAAAGAATTGAGTTATTAAAGTTTTCTATAAAAAAGTACAAATAGCCCAGGATATTCAGGTCTTCTACTGGAGTTAATAAGTTAATTTCTTGTTTTGGGTTTAAAAAAAAAGTCTTTGGAACTTGTGGGCTTCTGGGGAGGGTCACAGTAAGGCTGTTGAATGACTTAAGTGTGTTCAGTGTGTTTATTAACTCACACCTGACCACATGAATGAGGGGCACAGAAAGCTGAGCCGTACATCCTTTTAGCCATTGAGTCCTGATGCTGACCTATCACCAGGACAGCTGTGGACACCATTTCTAGAACACTGCATCTGTGCATGTCTCAAGCACCCTTTCCCGATTTTCTGGACTATTCTAACAGCAGAAAGAAACGTCTTTCTCTACATTTGCTGCACTGGCCCACATAAGACATGCCAGCAGTCTTGACTGTTCCAGCATATTTTGTTAGCAGCAGTTCAAGGAAAACCATTTTCCAAACCTGTTTCCTAACATTGTGTCAAGCTAGTGTTAGGAAAGCCAGTGCTAACCATTGTCCTGAACCTCTCATGGTCAGCATCCTTTCAGGTCCCTGGCTCAGCATGCATCTCCTGAGCATGCCTGTTTGGTGTGCTCAGTCGTGGGGCAGGGGCAGGCACCCCTTCCCTTCTGGGGCTGTAAACAAATAGGAAACAGTGTGACACACAGGAAAGGTGAGACACGGACTGTCAGGTGGTGTTGCCTTGCTGAGGCATTTAAAAGCACATGACCCTCAGTTTCCCCTCTCTTCTATTTTGAGAAAAGAAAGCCATGCACAAAGCCTTCCTATTTTTTCTGCTAAGCAGAAGCTGGCAGGACACTGTTGGTTGTTTTTTGTTTGTTTGTTTTTCCAACTTGTGCACCTAGTCTCAGCTGCCGAAATTATAAGAGAAAAAGAGGCGGAGCTGAGTGGCTTCCTTCCAGGGTCTGCTGGCTGGCCTGACTCCACCCAGGGCAAAGGACTTCTTACAGATGGGAGGGTCTGAGAAGGAACAGACTGTATCCTTGACAAAATCACACATTTCAGGACCAACAAAGGGTAACTTCCATTTGCAACAATGACCCCCAGTGGAAAGCCCAGGCAGGTACCACAGCCTCTCCCCCACCTTCCCTGTCTTTCTGGGTGAACTCAAACCCTGCTCTTCCCTGATGGTGTTGACCTCAGCCTCCTCCTCTTTGGGACACATCAATGGGTGGTTCTTTTGGGCTTGACAAGCCACCACATGCTGCTAAGAACAGTAGCAAATGAGCGACAACACTTGAGGGTTAAAACTGGCCTCCGGTGATCTTTCATGTGACCATCGCAGGCCGAGCTTTCAGAAAACTCTTGGCCTCCCGAATTTCTCAAATTACTAATAAAAAGGCCAATTAAAGAAAAGGCTCAAGCCAGGCCACAGAGATCAGAGGGTGATGTGGTGAAGGGCAGTCATTTTAGTTCCTGGGGCTTCTCATTTACTTCCTGAATTAGCTCCTGCCTGGAGGTGGGCCTCCCATTAACTGCCAGGGCTGTACCTGGCAGCATACTCCAGCGTCTTCCATTCAACTGGGGAACTTTAGATGCCATGCCAAAAGCAGAGCTAGCCCCACTGGCCTGTGGTGGAAGAGGGAAGAGCTGCCACTGAGCAATGGCAGCTTCCAGGGGAATATAATACAAAGTAATTTCAGTGGATTTTCTGGGTCACAGCCAGATGGGTCCTGTGGAGACTCATATTGTGCTAGGTTCTGTCCACAGGACCTATCACTGCAGGCAGAGTCCGACTGAGACCAGGTGCTTCCTAAAGAGCTCCCCCAGGGACTAAACCCTTCAAGGCACTCTCCTGATTCCAGCTGCCACAGTGGTTGCTTCAGTTCAAACAGCAGTCTTTTTCCTGGAGCCCCATTTCACACAGGGCCTGTGAAGTGGGACAATGGTGTAGAATTTTATCAGTTGATCCTGCCTAAGAGCTGTTAATGGCTATACACATGAGTTAGTTTTGCAGCAATAACTGTCTCAGGCTGCCCAGATCTTTAAAGTATTAGCCTTTAATCTAAATTTAACACTCAGCAGTGTATAAAATAGGCTGCATCATGAATACATCCTTAAATTGTTATCATTTCTCCTAGGTTTCTTCTCCAGTGTGTTGTGTTCCTTAGGCAAATGCTGGCTCTGTGGCTATGTCATGTTTTCTGTTTTTTTCTCTCCCTTTTGAGAATGTTGTTTCATATTCTCTAAGCATACAAGCCACTCAAGGGATTGCACGTGTTTTCTAGGGAAGTTGAATCACTTGGAGCTGGATGCTGGCTATTTAAGGGAAAACTCAAGCCTGCTACTTGCTTAAAGCAAGCAGGCAGCTTGGCACCTTGGGACGGATTGTCTACGACCCTTGTGTTTCTTCTCTGTGGCTTCCCGCACCTTGAGAGGTTCCCTTGGTAAAGAACAATCCTTTCATTTCCAAGGCTCATACACCAGTTTCTTTACCGTTGGACCAAGTATAGTGTTTTTGATAAGGCTGGCCACCAAGATGATGAGTTGAACTTCTAAGAGCCATACTTGAGACCCTTTTTGAGTTCTGAAGTCTGGAATTCATGAAAAATTGCAGAAGAAACTGCTCTCTTCTGGGTTGGCCCATTCCTGGCTCCATATCTCCTTCTGATAGGGGTTTTCAGAACAGCCTATGTTCCTTATCTCAAACACTCTTGGTGGTTTGCACATTATGTGACTGTCAGGCAGACAGGTGGAGAATAACAAAGAGAGCTGGGAGACGCTCTGGGGAGAGATGCCTTCTATAAGGACAGGTGGAACTTCCATTTCCACCTGTTCTTAATGCTGCAAAAGCCTGCTTCTTCTAAACACCATGGACTGGGAAGGTGTTTGACCAAAGATGTGCTCTTCAAAGACCGGAATGTTCTAGCAACAGCTTTAAGACAGTGTGTGCCTCTGAGAAGAGTCTGTTGGTGACAGCTTCAGGGGTGATTGTATGTAGGCATGGGGATAAAGTTTGTCTTATGGAGTTTGTGTGTTCTGGAGTACACACTGAGTCATTCTAGGACAAGAAGACAGACTACATACTTCTGGTGTGTCTATATGAACATACGGGAAGTAATCCTCCCACCTTTTTACCCCTAGAGTCTCCAAAAGACATAGGCTGAAAAGAATAAGACAGACAGACAGAAACACAGACAAAGACACACACACACAGACAGACACACACACACACATACAGACAGACACACACAGACACACACACACACACACACACACACACACACACACACACACACGGAGTTCAGCCCAGGTGCTGTAACAATGCCACACATACATGAACATATCAGACATACTGGAATTAGATGCTTCCAGCTATCCCCAAGAGGAGGAGTGGTGGAGGAACCCAGACAGAGGAGGACATGAAGTTAACAGAGTCTCATCTCAAAAATAATTCCCACAAACAAAACCAGGGTTTGCAGGTAGAATCAAATATATATATACACATATATACACATATATAGTAAAAGCCTAGTTAAATGTGTAAAGTAGCCATTCATTTTTAAAATTACATCTACATTAAAAAATTAATATATCTTATAGAGTGCCAGTGTGTGGGGTTGCGGGTAAGAGAGAGCACAGCAGCAATGAATAAAGCTAACATGTAAAGCAGACTGGAAACATGAGCCTTCACAAATATAGCACAATTGTGTCTTATAAAAATTATCATAATACTCTTTATACTTGATATAATTATATCAATAATATAGATTAACTTGTTATTAAGGTTTGTTATAAACATGCAAAATCCATTGCATGATGCACTCGCAAAACATATTAAAATCCTTCTAGAAAGAAAACATCTTTGAGCTGATATAAGCATAAAGTATCTTGATCCTACAGCTCCAGGTGTGTCATTCGATAGGAACTGGAAATGGGAGCGCAAACTATACTGTTTTTCATCTCTAAGTGGATGGTAGGGCTAGAGAAGAGGAGGAAAACCAATCAATAGGGACTGATGCTAGTCAACACTTTGATTAAATTACTATACATTGTACTTTCATAAACGACACCGCAGCTTATTAAATAAATAGTACAAAAAGGGATAGGGGCATACACATCAGCTTCTTAGGAAGGTACCCACAAAGGTAGCAAATATTATCATGTGTGTGGGGTTGGCTAACAACACTCGTGAATAGTGGCATGATTACTGATGGCACCCTGGACTGAAGAATCATTTCCCAGAGATTAAAATGAACATACACATGGTTTATCCTTGATCTGAAATGATTTCACATGCTTGTTTAGCAATGTCCTTACATGATTTGGCCTCTTAAAAAGAATGAGTTATTAAGATAGTTATCAACCAAGTAGGGCAACACAGATGATAGATTCAGTGAATATTCGTCTAAAGTTTTCTTTCATTGTCACATTGCTGCACTATGGATGTGCTATGACATTTGGGAACGGTGATTAGGTCCATCCTGCCCTCTCAGATTCTAGGGACTGTTTCTATTGAAGCAGAGAATAGAAGCAATGGGGTCTTGAAGACACTACTACCCCCCAACCTCTCATTGCTTACTCTTTGGGCTTCCTGTTCTTTCATTCCAAAGACACCTTGGGTGGAGATGTTTCCAGTGCTTGAGCTGGAGCAGGTTCACTTTACTATCTCTGGTTGAGGGATCCTCATGATGAAAATCCAAAGATGGAGGGTATGGAGAATATATCAAATCGTACCAAAAAGGGGAGGGGGTACAAATCTCTTTGTTTTCCAGGAAGAATTAACTTAGAGTCAGATGTGCTTCTACATAATTAAGCTGGACTCTGTACATTATGTCATCATCCACTAAGATAATGTTCTTCATTGTAAAAGAGAAGAGGGAGGGAGGGAGGGAGAGAGAGAGAGAGAGAGAGAGAGAGAGAGAGAGAGAGAGAGAGAGAGAGAGAACCTGAAAAGTTGATCACTTATGGACTAATGTCCTTAGAATTTTCAGGTCTCTGTGTGGAACAAAATACAAGGCCATAGCCTTAAAATTTTAGGTTAAGGATCATTTCCCACTGCTGGGGAGGCTGGGGGCTGGGGAGGCATTTGATCTCTCATTTTCAGATTTCATACTGCACTTTGCAAGATTGGGTGCACAAACTGGGGGTTGACATATGAGAACCCTTCAAAATCAGACTGGTCTATGTTAGCGATGACCAGCTGATCTGGTGGTGTTAAGACAGGCTGTCCTCGCGTAAAGAACTTGTCAAAGTTTTCGGCTCCTTTGCCACACTGTGGGGAAAAAAAGAAAAAGAAGAGGTCAGAAGATGCAAAACTTGGGAGTAGTATTCTGAGAGCATTTGGAGGGAAAGGGCGTGCCCCAGGGAAATTGGGCCTGGCTGGGCAAGAAGACTCTTGGAGGACTTGCAGGCCTACTGGAGTCAGAAGCCAGGCACAGCAAACAACAGAGAGTTACTTGATTGTAAATCTTCAGATATTCTTAGAGTCAAAATTCCAAATGGATACACACTGTTGGTTATAACATAGCAAGAAGACAGCCTCTCTTACTTCAATATTACCTTGTTGAGCAAGCAGAGCTATTAGCATGAATGATGCACACACAGGGCCATCAGTAATAGCTCCATGTTGAAAAGGCCATGATGTTGGTTGTGCCTGTAAATACCCTTGAACTGGCAGGGTGAAGTTATTGTGTCACATCTGCTTCTTTGTAATAATATTTATAATCAGACAGAAGCTGTGTATCTTTGCCATATAACTGGGATGTTTTAGAAACTCCAGACCTCAGAGTAATCTTAAGGCAGTATGGGGTAGGTACAGTGATGATGGTAGGAGATGAGTTCTTACACCCAGCGAGAATTCTGCAATCTGGTTAGAGCTGGTCAAGTGGCAGGCAGGTCAACATGGGGCTCATTCTCAGCATGGTCTCAAGGCGGGAGGAGGTAGGCACTTAACTGGGGAGGCACAGTAAGGCCTGTGATCTGTCTTAAATATTGTCTTCCTTCAGGATCAGCCAAGTCATTGCAGATGGAGGCTTCTGGCATAGCTACCCTGTGATTGTCTAACTAGGCAGTTGCTTAAGCAGTAGTGCATGAGAGTCTTTACTCAACTTGGAGTCAATTATACAACTTAGAGTTATATAAGACCCACTGCACGATATACTTGCAAAACATTAAACTCATTCTAGGAAGGCAGGGAAGGAGTATCCTCACTTTCCAAGATACCTAGAAAGGTTAAGGCATGTCAAGGTCTCTGGGACTTCCAAAAAAGAGTTGGGAGTTTCACCAATGCTACTAATAATGATTCTGAGCATGCTACAAACCATTGTTCTTTGATCTGTTGATAGCACATCTAGAGCAACATGAACTTATTTTGAATCAGCATGTTTTTTTTTTTTTTTG